TAATTTATTTACATATTAATGTTAAATAGAAGTCAGTATTGTGATCCAATGTGGGGGTAAACTGTCACCCGGCTCAATCATGCAATGATGTAGCTTGTTAGTTTTGTAATTATATGGTTGATCAGGAACAATTAAATCAAAATACAATTACACAGTAAATCAAATACAATTTGCATACTAGAGTGACATCTTTATTATTGCAGCACAGTACATTTAAATACAAGTGTTGTTTATCTGTGTGTTACCTACAGAGGACTGTGTATAAGAATAGTTTTACATAAGTTTTTATAGCCAACAAAGTGTACCATGATTTGGTAATAAATGTACATTTGAGGACCAGATGTGCATATGATGTAAGCACTGGTATGCAAAATAGGTCAACTTATTGTATGTAAATAAGCCCATTAATTATAAAGGGGCCTCTCTAATATGACATTATTATTTATGTGGTTTGACAGTTTCTATATGCAAAAATAGTATAATGCTTTAAAAATGGTAGCTTTAAATTAAATTTCTTACAGGATTTCAGATTGATTTATGTGACAGTTATTGCATAGTAATGTTGAATAAACTTACAATTACTATTAGGCTTACAGTATACAGGGTTCAATCTTATATTATTAACTAGATTTTGATAGCTCAAATTTTAATAAAATGTTTTTATTTTTAAATGTTTAACCTTATATTAAGTAGAATTTGTACCGGTATAAGTAAATTCAAGTAAAGTACAGGGTGTACTAGTCATTTGTCTCATAAAAAATGCATAGGATTCAATGTAAATTTTATTTTTGGCAAATCGACCTTAATAATTATGAGTAATCTTAGAGTATCAATTTTAATAATTTTATTAATAAGTACTACCACTTACATACTATATATATCGACCATTAAATATTCTTATTATTAAGGATGTCAAATTTTAACTCAATAAAACATATAATGATAATTTATTATTATACAAAGCCGATGAGCATATATGAGATATTTTATAACATGGGTATAAATAGTATGATAACGGGCCACAATATGCAGTAAATAATGACCTGGCTACTAATCTTATATCTACATAAAACATTATTGTTAATTTTTAATTCCCAAATTTGATCAAAACCGACATATTTAAATTTTATCTGAAAAACTCATCAAGGTTTATATAATTTCTTTGGCTAAGATACTATTT